TTGATTTTAACCAGGTAATTAATTCCACATTACAAATGTCACTAGATTCATATCTCTAACATGGTTTATGAGAGACTTAGTTCTTTCCAGTAGTCTGCAGAGCTTCCAGATGTTTCATAAGCCCTTTTCTTATCACAGGCTGCAGTTCATTCCCTCTCTCCTCCCTTTCCAAACACAGCAGCTTTATGCAACTCTGGAAAGTGCAGAATTGCCTTTTCAGAGGCCTAGGCATAATGAGACATGAAGCTAAAGCAAAGATTTTTTTCTTAACCTCTTCTCAGTCAGTTATAGTCAGAACTCTACCATCATATGGGAAAGCTTTATCTAAATTTATAGAAAGGACAAACTAAAAAATTCTAAACTGTCATGTGCAGGGCAAAGGGAGTTCACATACAAATGTAATCATGGACAAGAACAGAAGAAAAGCAACCTCCAAAATCTTTCATGATGCCTACGTAATTTTGGGAAAAGTAATAAAAGTATCTCTTTTAAAGCTGATTCAGCTTCAACATTGGAACATTTTTAACAGTGTTTAAAGCCAATGATGTAAATTTTTTCTTTCTATGAAACAATTAGCATAGGGCTACAAAGTTAAAGGAGTTGTTCAGCTTTACCATATTTCAGTTTGTATGGCACTGCTCCACTACTAACTACAGGTTTTAAAAGTAAGTAAAAATAATTTCTAAATAAAATTAGGCTACACTTAAGTCTGTAAAAAAACCTTCATGTTCTGCATGGTCACAAACAACTTAGAAACTGTCAGTTGTTCATAATAACATGGTTTTAAATGAAACTAGGGGTGGGGTTGGGTTAGATTTTTTTTTTGAGTGGGGTTTCTTTTAAACAGTGCTAGAATCAGTACAAGTGTGCACACTAGCAGTCTCATGAAACTATTTGTATGGACATACAGTTAATTCTAATTAACAACTTCTAAGAGGCTAAGAGGATGTTCATATGCACCACCTAATATTTACTCTTTTAGGTTTAAAGATCATTGAAAGGGTCTCAAAGCAAGATATAAGTAGTACAGGCCAGTACTCTGGTTTTCAGCACAAACAAATTCTCAAGCTATCACAGCGTATTAACGCCAGCTCCGGCGAGATGAAAACCAGTTTAGCCAAGAAATACTATTACATACTTAAGAGAAAATAAGGGCAAAAGACACTAACAATACACATTACTAGCTAATAACAGCTGCTGTTGCAGAGCAAAGTGCAAAGACAGTAGAAATATTTCACAAAGAGGACTAAAAAATAAATTCAATTAATTGCAACATTTGAAAGTCTCCAAGACAAGTGAAATGGTTGACAACACAGCTTACTTTACTCTAGAGAGTGAGAATTAGATCACCAAACAATTTTATTTTCTATCATCATTGCCTCCTAATAACTTAGAGATACTCTTGATCTAGGAGCAGCAACTATCTGTTGAAATTGGAAGGGAAGTGAAAGTCCATTATGCAAAAAGCTCAGAGAGTTGAATTCAAGAAAAGCAGGTACACCTGCTCATGGAAAATGCAGCAACAGTTATCCTAAAAAGACATTTAGACAGGCTACAACTGACAAGTTATGTTGCTGGCAAGAAATCTGACCACTGCAAAACTGGAACTTGAGGTATCCTAAAGTTCAGGAACATTCTCTGGTGGAATCTAGCAAATATAATCTAATATAAGACAATTCTGGGTAAAGTGTATTATTCTGAAAAAAATATTCCAGCTCTCATCTTCATAGGAATCTTGTCTATTTCCCAGTTTATTCCCACATGGTACATTCCCAATGGTACATTGCTGGTAACAAACATATAAATAAAGAAGATTTTACCATCATACAGAAAAAGATCTAAAAGAAAAAAAATTAAAGACTTTCAGTCACCAACTGCAAAACCAGAAAATTCTCATATAAAAGTATTCATCCTAGCTCAGACCAAAGTCCATCTCAACTTCAACTGGTGGCCAAAGGCAGATGTATAGGAAAGAGCAGATGACAAAACCAACTCCTACTGCAACCAAAATGAAAGACACCATCAACCATAAAGGGCTAAGGTCTCAGAGGTACAGACAGCCCTAAGCAGCATACACCACACATGCTTCTAAATGCATTTGTAAACTCCTGTAATGCTTTGGAAATAGCCAGATCAAAGGATTTTTCCTGATAAACTCTCACAATGATCAGTATTCCATAACACTTGTATTTTTCTGTTAAACTCTATAGCTGCTGTCCCATTGCTACAATGTAAAAACCACACAGATTTACGGCAATGTTGTTTGAGTACCTGAAACACAGCCATGTCATTTCAGGTCTCTCCCATAACAGAAAACTAACTAGATCCTAAACCAATTCCAATTGTACAGAAAACCATTTTTATATATTAAAAAGCACAGTTAACAACCAGATTAGAAGCAATCCCATATTCATAAAGCTACCATGCCTGAAGTACCAGAAAAAGAAAAAAGTCAGTGACCAATGAAACAAGGAATGCAAAGGGCAAGAACTGTTGAGCACAAGTCCGTCTTGCACAGTCTCTGTGGCTGTCATTTCAAGAGACTGAGATCATCCTGAATTCCTGTGTTTAAGCAGATGAAAGCATGTGGAATCACAATTCAGAGAAGGCACATACAGGTGTCTTGTATAACTCCAGGGAATTTTCGTTGGTTTGCCTATGGATCGCACAACCTCCTGTTTTTTTTACTGCTGAGAGAGGAGCTAAATGTTAACATCTGTCCTCAGCTGAGTCTCTTAGTTTTCTCCTACAGTTTGTTTACAACTAATTGCTGAGTCACCAGGCAGCTGAGGCATTTCCAAAGACTCTAAATCAAATACCAGAAACAAATTTCTTGATCACTATGAAATCTATGAGGCCAGTGGCATATCTTCATTGGCTGGAATGCTGTGGAAAACCACCATGGGAATTGAAGAGGACAGTCACCATCCACTCTTAATTTCCATCATCAGAACTTTGAGTTCAATTGCCTTCATCTGAGGAAGAGTAGTAATACCTCAACGACCACCATCATCTTGGCAACTGTGTACAATATAAATTCTCTTCAGTACTAGCTCTATTAGAATACTTAAAAGGCTCACAAGAGATCTAAATAAAAGTAAAACCAACTTACTGCTATTGACATATTCAACCCACTTCAAAAATAATCATTGCAGTAGTCTTAATCAGCTTTCTGTAGCAACTCAAGAATACAAGCCATGATAACTAAAAAAAAAATAACCAAAAAGTCAACAGCCAATTTGTGAGCCGTTTTCCTCTCTATGTTTCCTCTCTCTTACTCTTCCAATACTTGGCTCTTAAGCAGCTGCAACAACTTCAGAAGTGACATACATCCATTCTGTATTTCACATTTCAAACAACTCAAATGAAAGAGTGCACTTACACTGAGGATATTTCTTTGTAAAAATTTAATCAGTATACAATCAATGTAGCAAAGCAACTGTGAGCTGCTGTCTACCACTTTAATGACTACAGGTTTCAGGGATGCACCAGAATTGGCCACCTGTTCTGACGCACTGTCATTCTGAACTGTGCACTACCATCTTGCATCACCCCAGCCAGACAAACCTCTTCTTACTTCTCCTGAATTTGCACAGGTAATATCCTGTCCTCCTGTCCTGGCATGATGATCTGTCACTCAAGTAAACATTAAACACAAATCAGAATTTTCAGTTATCATCTACAGCCTAGTGCTTACAACAGGGTCCTTACAGTTGTGATATATTTCTAAAGGTTCACTTATACTACAGCTGCTACTGCAGAAGCGTAAAAAAGCTTTCAGAGTTTAAATGTACATTTAAAAAGCAGATAAAAGTCACATAGTAGTTGCATCCAGTGTATTTTACAACTTCATGTGTAATGCAACTGTAATGCGTAATTATAATCCACCAACAGATAATTTGGTTCACAGGTATGAAGTACAATTATGAAGGTACCCTTAGAATAGCATCTAAAATAATAGGTGTGTCATCAAACTTATTAAAGAAGGCATTTAGACAGGTATGAGGAAAACAACAAGGAAAATGCACAATACACAGGCACAATGGTTGACTAAGTTAGCTACCTTGTCCTGACAACATTTGATCAAAGTATGCAACTCCCATCCATACTAGGCCGAAGAAGCATAAAATATATTGGCAAAGGGGCATCAAGCAGCAATTCCTATCAGCATATGGCTATGCCAGCAGCATTTGCAAGCATTATTATTTGTCACACAGCAGCCAGTTACCAATAGAATGGAATAAGTTTTTAAGAAATGTTCAAGGCTAGTTTGGATAGGGCCTTGAGCAATGTGGTCTATGGGTGTCCCTGCCCATAGCAGGGGGGGTTGTGACTACCTCATCTTTAAATCCCAGTCCAACCCCTTGACACTCTACAATTTAATATGGTTTTAAAAAGTGACAAGAAACATCTGGAAAAGCCGCGGTGTATGTACATGTATACACAAAAAAAAAGGTCCCTTTAAATTAGACTGGAAAAGCCAGGGCTTTTAATTTTCCTTTGACAACGTGTCTTCACACAGTTTGCTTCAGCAGCTCCAGCCGAGACTGGAAAGAGCATCCTTGCAGCCTAGGCTGAAGGTAACTCCAAGCAATGAGACAGAAACTCACGACAAAACTGCAGGGTGGAGTGTGGCCTCGCTGCCACAAGGCTGCAAACCACAGGCACTACCCAGGTATAAGTTTTGTTGTGACAACGCCTTCTCCCTCTTCACTGCCCCACTCTGCCGCCGCAGCCAGGGCCGTGACACAGCCCGAACTGCCCCGCGGCCCGTCAGCCAGGCCCGGAGGCGGCTGCCAGCGGCCCAAGGCCGTCGGGAGACAAGGCCGAGGCCGCGGGCGGGGCCCGGCGCAGAGGCGGGGGGGGAGACACCGCCTCTTCCTCGCGCGGAGCCACCACGTCGGCGGCACTGCCAACACTGCGGAAATGGGCGCGGGGAGCCGGGCCTTCCTCTCCGCCCCGCGCCCCACTCCGGCCCGGGCCGGGCTGGGCTCACCCACCTGTGTCTCCGATGATGATGTACTTGAAGAGGTACGCGTAGGCCATGGCCGCTCCCGGGCTGCCGCTCCCGGGCTGTCCCGCTTTCGCTCCGGCGTGACGCGCGCGCTCGCCGCCCGGGCTCGCGCTGCGGAGAGGCGGAAACGGGTTAACGGCCCCCGGGCGGCGCCTCCGCCCGCTCGCTCCCTCCTACCTCCGCCCCGGCGCCGCTGCTGGCAGAGGGGCTCTCTCGCTCGGTCCTGCTGTCCGCCCTCCCTCCCTCCCGCCGCGGCCCCGCAGGCGCCGGGAAAGGCAGAAAGCGGCGGTGGCGGCGAGAACAATAAACAGGCGCCGAGCGGCCCCCGGACCCTCCGGCGACGTCAGCGCCCGCCCCCTCACGCCGCCCCGCCTCCGACCCGGAAATGCTGAGGCGCGGGGCGGAGCCTCGACCCCCGCCCCGCGGGGCGAGGGCGACGCCGGCTGCTCGGGGGCTTCGGGCAGCTATCGTCTCCGAATCCAGAATCGGTGAGGCTGGGAAAGATCTCTGGGATCATCGAATCCCACCTATGACCAAAGAGCACCATGTCAACTAGACCGGGGCACTGGGTGTCATGTCCAGTCTTTTCTTACCAGGGACGGTGACTCCACCACCTCCCTTGGCAGCCCGTCCCAGTGTCTAAGCACCCTTTCCGCGAAAAAGTTCTAACTGATCTCCAACCTAAATCTCCCCTAGCACAGCTTGAGACTATGTCCTGGCATACTGTCTCTGGGTGCCTGGGAGAAGCAGCCGACCCTCACCTGACTATAACCTCCTTTGAGGGAGTTGTAAAGAGTGATAAGGTCACCCCCGAGCCTCTTTTTGTCCAGGCTAAACCCCAGCTCCCTCATCTGCCCCTCACAGGATTGGTACTCCACACTCGTTGCCCTTCCTTGGACCAGCTCCAGCACCTCAATGTCCTTCCTAAACTGAAGGGCCCAAAGCATAAACCCTCTGAGAATAGCCAGCAATGGGCTGTTTGGTACGAATTTATCTTCATCACATGAGTTCTGGCCTGTAAGGGTTTTCCCTTTCTGTTTCTGTCTTTCCTCACTGAACTCAAAGCAATGAGCCAGGAGAGTAACCTAAATTCTCAGCTGGACTTTTACTTCACTTGGGAGTGGTGAGCTGGAAGAGGATTCAAGGTCTTCCATAGTCTAAGATGCTTTATGAAGTGTCCGGTGTACCCTGACCTTTGGACCTGGAGCAGTCTGGCTCATGTATCACATCCACACTGACGCTACATCAGATGCCTGGCAAGGGTAAATGTGGCAGGACACTCCAGTCAGATCATACTGATGATGCTTTGGGATTCCCTTCAGCTCAACTGTTTGTTGACCGTGGGCTGGGGGGATTGTTCAAGAGCCATTGGCACATTCTTCATATAAACTCACATTTTACTCCCATTCTGGCTGCCTAGTAGAATGAGAGTGAAAGATGTCTGTCTCTTAACTTTACAGAGAGGTTTTTATTTGTGATCAGCAGCTTGGACAGCATTGACCTACAAGGCTTCTAACAGGTGTGCATCCAACTTAATTGTAAAAACCTTGAATAAAGCTGATTGTGCCAAATCCCGTCATCATATTTCATGACCTGAAACCCAAAATGAAGCTTTCTTTAAAAAAAAGATTCCTATCTACTGTGGATATATAAACCCAACCCCTCCTCCCCCACAACATTATAAAGTGGAAGAAGCTCCTTTATATACTATAAACATATCTACCTTTTCCACATGAAAAAATCACATTTTCAATGACTACTTGTTAGATGTTTGCTTCCTGTTTTTTATTTTTTTCTCCTTTGTACTTCTCCTATTTTCTCAATACTATTTATTAAGTGTAGAGCCCAAAACAGCCATTCTCACATGTCTCTAACCAGCCTCATCACCTCAAAACTGGCAAATGAGTATTTCCAGTCTTGCTCCTCTCTGAACATATTTTTTTTTTACCAACAACATCTGATGTTCTCTCCATACATTTGGTATCTCCTTATTGGCAGTGTTTTCCCCCTTGCTAAATTTCAATAATTTTGATCATGGCCACTCAGTTTAGCAAAAATATTTGATTTTTTCTCTTTTCATATTATCTCTGCCATTTTGTTACCCAGTCTGTTCATGACAATATTGAATGGGTCTTTCATGGACAGGACAGAACATTGAAAAGTGGCATGTGAAATTTTCTCCTAGTTTAAAAACCCTCTCTGCACTGTAAAGAGATATTTCTCTATTATTTTATTTGCAAGTAGTTTCAATATACATTTTTGTTAATAAACAGTTCCTAGCTAGAATGAGATTTCTCAGAGAAGCAGGTTTTTGCCTTGCTTCCTATGTAAGTTAGGCTTCTGTTTTCACATATCCTTGTGTGTCTCTGTTTCCTGCCCTAATAACGATCATGAAATCTGGCATCTTGGATGGAGCAGGGTACCTCAGCTGAAGGAAAGGCTGCAGCTGGGGTCAGCTGTCAAACCCAATCAAGAATTCACACTAAAACTAGTCTTCTCAAGTTCTCCCTCAGCAGCTAAGCCCTTCAGCTGGCATTCATGCTGTTGGCATGGGTTTGTGTGACCTCAACCACTAGAGATAAAGCTGTAGGAGATCAGGCTGTAAGCAGATAAGATCTCATCCAGTATAAGTAAAGGTTGCTGCTGCTGGGGATGGGGCAGCTCTGCTCCTCCTAATCTGCTGTGGACCCTCCCTTGTTCTGGCACGGTCAGGGTCATCTGCTGAATAGAAGTTGCTAAGCTTTCATTTTTTCTTATTGGCTTTCAGGCAATGTTATCCTGGGTCCCACAGCCACACCAACAAACTCAAATAACCTCACCAGTTGTATCCCACTGCTGTCCAGCCATCCTCACTGCTCCCAAAGGGTCCTATGGTGGTGAAGGCTAAAGCCCACTCTGTGAGATCAGTCATGTGGACAGATCTCAACTCTCAGGATGAGATTCTCCTTTAGCTGCCTCTCCTGTGTCTGGCAGGATGAAGGAGAACTGTATGGGCTTTTGTGTCCTTTACCTTTTCTTCAAAGCCCTTTTGTTCATGACATACTCCAAGTCTCCATTAGTACTGTTAGGGATTCCTACATGACTGAGCCACAAAGGGTATTACTCTGAGGGTTGGTCAAGTCTTGACAATCTGTCCTCAACATCTCAGGGTGATAAGTTTCAAGTGTGTTTGATGGTGATAGACTTTTAATAGGGATTCTAGCAATAGGATGAGGGGTAATGGTTTCAAACTAAGAGGAGGGAGATTTAGAGTAGCTTTGTGGAATAATTTTTTTTAATGTGAGATTGGTGAAGCACTGAAAAAGGTTTCCCAGAGAAGTGGTAGATGTCCCATCCCTGGAAACATTCAAGGTCAGTTTGAACAGGGCTCTGAGCAACTGGATCAAGTTGAAGATGTCCCTGCTTGTTGCAGGGAGTTTGGACTCAATGGCTTTTAAAGCTTTCCAACCCAAACTATTTTATGATTGTATGGGAGCTTGATTGTATGATTCTGTTTATATCACTGATGGGATTTGGTCTCTTAGTTCCCAAATTATGTGATCTTCAAGACTTCCAGACAGGCCAAGTTAGCCTGATGTGATTGAATGAGATCTGGTAAGAAAAGGGAATTCCCTTACGTAGAACTGAGATTTGCTGATGGACATACAGACAGTGCAGAATCCACAGTGAAATGGAAGGTGCCTTTAACATCACAGCTGTGCTGTCTGACAGGTGGATCTGACAGTTCAGAGGGAAGGCAACCCTACCTGTTTGTGATTTGGAAACCTGGTGAGCCAGGCAGTAACCACCTTGCAGGTGACTCACGTAGTGGGGCAAGGCCCCACTGACTTCCTCCGTGGTTGCTCAGCTTGGGCCAACATCTGCAGATGTTGGAGAGATAGCCAGGCCTCTGCTGGTTAGCCAGTCAGCCAGGTCACCCCTGAGTCAGCCAGGCTGCTCTGTGGAGTATTTCAGTCATTTGGGATGGGTAGGGATAATTATTGAATCAGTGTTTGGTAGAGGCTTGCAAGGATAATATGCAAGAATTTGTTGCTTATGCTATCCAATGGTAAGTACAAGCTAATTTGCTGCTGGAGGAGAGACTCTGTTCCTAACTTATTGAATGTTATCAGCTGATCTACAAATCTGAGATGCCTCCAACTAGAGATTAATGCAAAATTGATTTTCCTCTAAGATATGTGTACCATATATCATGCTAAGTACTAATAAGAGGCATGCAAATAGCTACTGTAATCCTTTTCATTTTTTTACTTCTCACCTGCTAAATTTACCTTTCCCAGAGAAATGAGTATCTTCTTTTGTTAAGCATTAATACTTTGATAGAAGGGTACCGTGTAGTCAGACTCACTCATTAAAAAAAAAAAATATTAGCCAGTTGATGTAAAAGAAGCATTGCTAATTTAGGATTGAAGAATTGCAGAGGATTGTTTTTCTTTACTTTTTTTTTTCTGCTTTTTTGTTCTGTTTTTTGTTTTTTTCTTAATGTTATCATGACTGCTTATCTGTTAATGATTTTACATCACATAATGAAATATTTCGCTATGATGACTGTGTCAGGATTATATTCTGGCAAATTTGTGAAAGTTTCTGGATACACTTTGGAAAATTATAACTTACTGTTTTTTCTATGTCATTTAGGTTTTTTTCCTGAATTTTCCATTTATCAAACTCAATTGGAGTTTATAGAAAAGCCTTAGTCTTTGCAGGAACCTTACCAATAAAAATACTATTTAGGAAAAAGGCTTGGAGTCATCCAAAGCTCAACATACTCTCTAGAGCAAAGCATTAGACTGGATTTTTTCAATGGAAATTAAAACACAAAAGCAGAACTCTGGCATAATATTTGAATACAACCACTTTAATTATATTTTCTACAGTAGTATCATTTAACTGTTAGAAGTAAATCTCTACCTACACTTCAGTCTAGCTTAAAATTTTTCAATCATTCTGTTGTATGTTTAAAGTTTCTATACAGATGCTCAGTAGGAAATGTTATTTTCTGGTGCCTCTCATTAATTTGTCTGCACGTGCTTCTTCTGAACATTAAGTATGTACTATAATTTTTCTTATTTGTGAATTTTAAGATTAGATCTGTATTATACTTAAGAAACAAGGTAATATACAGCATATTTTATTTATTATAAGTGTTCGAGAATGGGACCTCACTTCATATGGAAAAATAATGTAGACAGCAGATCCTGCAAGAACACAGTCAAATATATCTAAATATCAATGAGGACCTGCCTTTGTAAAGAGAATTTCTAAATATGTGTTAAGCCTATAAAGGTGAAC